ATGTACGTCCATGCTCGAACAGTCCATCCGTGACGTCATTACACTCGGGCAGCCTCCAGAGACCCGCTCGCCAGCTGGGGTAGTGGTGGCTGACACCAGGGCAGTCACGAACATCACGTGATGGCTAAACGAACGCTCTCGTGTAAGTTTGACTTACACGTGTAAGCTAATCGAACGCACCCTATGAGTGGGACACATGAGAGCGCGTAAAATTGATCGCGTTTAGTGTGTATTACGCCTACACTGCACGGACGTATATCAAACAAATGGACTCAGCGCAATGCCCTTAAGACCATTGAATCCAATATTGACCATTTTACCGAGCCGAATACAAGCTTGCCCGGCAATTCCCACTCCTTTTTCTCCCTGGCGTCAATAGGTACAATGGCAAGTGACCCATTCAGCTCATTTGTATCCGGCTCGGTAAAATGGCCGCTGTGTGGCTTCTATTTCACACAACTTGAAGTTAAAGGCGTTGCGAGCCAGATTTGTTATAAATATACGTCTGTGCTACACTGCCGATTGTACACAATGTGGTCTCAAATTACATTCACTCTTTTACTCTTTCGTGCTGCAGCCTGTTCGTTTTAATGAAGCAACTGCGTTCTTGACATGGCCAAGATTAAGTAAAAAGAGGATTTTCTACAATCGAAATATAGCTTCATAGAATTCTTCAACCGTTTTTTTTTTCAACTTGAATTCTTCAACTGTACGTGAATACCCTTTACCGAGGGATGAATTTAGGCCGTTTTCCAATACTCAACTTCGGCTCCGTACCGTCTCAGGCTTCAACTGTTTTTTTACTAGCTGACTTTGAAGCTGTAAGCGCAGTAATCAGTCTAATAGTCTAATAGTGCCACAGAACATCAAATAAGTTGCAACTGAAGAAAGCCACAAGCTACAGTAATCCAATGTAATCTAAACGCTTCAGGCCCACAGTCGGGGATTGGTTTTTGGAACGAAGCCTAAGACGGAGAAGAAGTTGAGTATTGGAAAACGGCCTTATACAGTAGTTTTGAGTTCAGTCGGGCGCCGCGAAGATCACGAAATGTTGACGTAGTTTTAGATGCAGTCTGAAAGGTCAGTGTACTACTAAGTCTGTGATTCGAACAGCAGGTAACCCGCACTGCCTTGCTCGTCAGTAGCATTATTGGCCCTTCCTAGTGCTCGTAGGGGGCAGAGGGGACAGGCGAACAGCCCCTAGAGACCAAGGACTGGATGCACCAATTTTAACTCCCGTGCTATATTAGTATATATTCGCTATGAGCAAGTCCAAAAGGCTATGCATAATCATAGAGCTATGTAATTAAAACGCTTTCTATGGCAGGTTAGAAATCACAATACAAGGTGTGAGTACGCAGAACAATTATCATGTACGTGTACATGTACAGTACAACTTCTTGGCATATTGGTTGGCAATAGCTATGGTAACCTGTGCAAGCTCTTTTGGGGTTTACGACTTATCAGTAGTTTTTTTATTGTTCCTATCTCGGTGGGAAAACTAATACACAGAGGTAAAAAATAATCAAAAGGAACAGTGTGAGTAAAATACTCGTGATCTTAACCGGAATGATTTCTTTACGCATATGTCCTTTATGGCCTTATTTTCCCGAGAACTGAAGCTAAATTTGGGGATTCACACGCTTTGAGGGGAGGGAATGGTCGCTATTACACTGTTGACCTTATCTCACATTTATTCATCAAAAAAAGAAAAATGTCACGCCCTACCGCCCTGCCGGGGCGATGCACAACACAAGGACGCGTGTTTCTATTGGTTCCTTCCTGATACGTGTAAGCAAACGCGTGTGTCAGTGTTCCGTCGTTGCAGTAGGTCACTGGCTATGGGGAACGAAAGGCGTGCGCCGTCACCGGGTGCGTACATAACTTGGCTGTATTGTGAACGTACGTGGCGTTGGGCCCGAGCTACAACCTTGCATTGCAAAATGCTGTCGAAACACTGGTCTGTTATTTCTCTTCTTTTCAATATTGTTGCTGTTGTAGTACTGATTTACACTTTCAATGATGGTCGACCGTTTCCCTTCAGCGAAAACAGTCTAATCTTTAATGAGTGCCGATCGTCAGCGAACATCCAAGGGACTACAGGCAGAATTTACGGGCTCAAACAAGTCAGGACTTTCAACGGGAAAAGGGCACTATCGTCAGCGAATTCCTGTAAGCCGTTCAGCACCAAACCAGGCCGAAAATGCGATCGGTGGATTGTGGTGACGACAATTTACCCAGAAACACCAATTCTCCATAAAATCAGCTCGCTTTCTGGATGGTGCATGGTTGTCGTGGCTGACAAGAAGGGGCCGGTATCCATGAACATTAATAATGTGGATTATCTAGATGTTGTCCAGCAGGAAAGTTGCGGCTACCATATATGCCGACTACTGCCGTGGAATCACTTCGGTCGGAAGAATATCGGTTATTTATACGCCATCGAACATGGTGCCAAGATGATCTATGACACGGACGACGACAACGAGCCTCTCCTCAATGTGGTACCGGCATTTGACAACGTTGGTTATTCCCATCACGTGAAGATACAGAGCCATCTCTGGAACCCGTACCCTCGGTTTGGCACCAACACCAAAATATGGCCCAGGGGCTTTCCTCTTGGTCACATAACAGATGCCACCACCAAGAAGGAAACTGTGTATGGCAAGGCAACGGGAAACCAAGTGGGGGTGGTTCAGTACTTGGCACAACACGACCCCGACGTGGACGCCATTTACCGTCTGACGAATGAGCTCCCGTATGAATTCAACCCCTCGGCTCGACGATACGTGGTACCCGAGCAGGTCCTTTCCCCGTACAACGCTCAGACTACTTTGCACGCCTACGACGCTTTCTGGGGTATGCTGCTGCCGGTCACCGTCCACGGACGGGTGTCCGATATCTGGCGGAGCTACTTCACCCAGCGACTGATGTGGGACATCGGTAAACGACTGGCATTCCACTCTCCGTTCGTGGTGCAGAAGCGTAACCCCCACAACTACATGGCCGACTTCGACAGTGAGATGGACCTATATTACAAAGCCGAAAACCTGGTGGAATTCTTACTCCGATTCACAACAGAATCCCCCACAACCCTGCCACAGAAATTGTTAGACCTGGCGATCAAACTATACGAGTATGAGTTCATTGGAGCAGGTGATGTATCTCTGACAGAAGCCTGGATTCAGGACCTCCAGTGTCTTGGCTACACATTCCCTGCCCTAACTAAAACGTCGAACTAGTTAGCATACATTATAAGACATCATCAACCACCTGTCTTTCCCATTTAGCTATGCCTGTCCACCTGTCCTGTAGAGGTAAAACATTTTGTATTCACAGGCAGTTTTTCGTGCTCAAAATGTACAGCCCCCCCTCCACTTGAACTTTACATTTCAATCCAAATTAGTGGGCTGGATGCGAATCTGGGCTAAGATAGCTTTACACCCGTTTCAAACATTCAGCACAGTGCGCAGGCTGGGCAGACAGGCGGTTCAAATCTTTCTCGATAGGGACAAGGTATATTTTTCAATAGACATTTATGCATATGACGTCACGTTAGAGGGCATTTCTCTTTTCCTCTAGGATAGGCTTAAGTAAACCCTTTGTGTGTTCATTGCAATAAAACTAAAAATAACAAAGAATAGCTTCTGACTCCGCCTTAACCCATAAGGTCTATTCCAGATGGAACCCTGACCCACTATTTTTTCTTGGCGGCGAGTATATGAACTTGTATGTATTCTTGACGATGTGATTGGTTGAAATTAATTTTAAAACTGCAGTGCCTTCAGATTGAGGATTGTATAGCTTTGTCTTAGAAGCTTTGATTGTAGTCCAATATTTAAGGCTGGTATTTTAATTTCAGGGTTTTTCAGATGATGTTGAAATTTGTGCCCGAAAAGATATTTCACATTTGCCTAATGGAAAGAAAATTTTATGAGATGGCACATGCAATTTAACATTCTTTGATGTGAACACATGAAATTATTGTACGCGTACGCATAAACATTCATGTTGTTTAATGGCAGATATCAGACGGACAGATAAGTGAACATTTTCACCATTTCACTTTTGTTTTTAAGTTTGAAAATGCTTTCGGGTACTCTGCCTCATTTCATATTAAACAGAAACATTCCATGTTAAAATGAACAAAATTCCTTGCAGTTAACCATGTTTTTTAATATTTTCATGGCAAGGCAAAAGTAATGAAAACCAGCTTTAGAAAAGGGCTCATTCTGCAGGCGGTTTATGGGTTTAATTATACCTCCAAAGCAGGCCAATTGCAGAGAGAAAGTGCTTACGTTCACAAACAGGTGTTCAAATTAATTTTGTGCAAATGCTTTTAGTTTCGTTCATATACTGGGGTTTCATTTTCACAAATGTTGCATTCACTTTTGTTTTCGTAGACACAAGTGTTTCCGTTATATTTCATTTATAGTCATTCAGTACTCCACTTTCATCAATAGTAAGTTTCACTTTTGCTGACATTCAGGAATTAGTGCAATATGTCGGGTTCACCGAAGCGCAAAGAATGTTTCATTTCTGTGGCGTTTTGTTTATACTAAATGTATCTCATATTTGTAACTTTACGTGTGATATGAATTATCTTAGAAGACGTTGCCAGTGACGTAACTAAAAGGGGCACGTGACTCCATCGAGGGCCTGTGCCCCCCTCCCCTGAACACAACCTATGTACATGTACATATACAAGTTGTTGTTCATCAGCTTTCGGTGCCCCCTTCATAATCGGGCCGCGGCCGCTGCTTATGGGTAGACTTGGCACGCGGGTCCTTGTGACCTCGAACGCGCTTGATTTGGGGCATGAGTTGTTGAAATGTCGAACTGGCTCGTTCCTAGGTTTCAGTGTACTGTTATTTTGTACGTACTATCTGGAATGGAATTTAAAATGAAATCTACGCAGCACATTTGCTTATGAATGAACACAGCTACTCTTTATTTTTGTCTACAATTATTCGGACATTTTCAAATAACAAGCTGGCAGAGGTTGGTGTAAAAAATAGTCATCATCGGCTTAACGTTTTTTTGTTTCCCTGTGCACTTATTCAGTGGTCTTCCTGTTTTCTGTCCTTGGAAAATCCATATACATGTACATGTACCATTTGAACGAATTCGATTAGAAACATGTTTAAAATTTTGGCCACTGCAATCTGTTAAAGTCTTCACCAGTCTCTTCCGAGACATCTGACAAAATTGAATGAGCGAAACAACTCTGAAAATTTAAATAAGCTTCCTTCTCCAAAGATTGCTCAAATAACGAAATAGATCTGATGCTTGATTGCCGATATAAGAGATCGTTCAATTTCAAATGAATTTGGATAGGCCTTGAAATAAGCAGAATGTTTTTGAATGAGATTTGGAAAGGCGTACAATGCGTTCTTTGATCGTATCCTTATTTAAGGTCGACAGGACAGTTAAGAATTCTGGCATTATCTAAAATATTTGATTTTATTCTTTCATGAGATTTTCTCGGTGGATGTAAATAAATTTAGAATAAATAAATCTAGAATTAAAAATAGTCACATGCACCTGGGTGCCATTGTGATTGAACAGTTTGCCTCTACCATCTGCAAGTTCAAGATTTGTTATTATCACCAACGTGTTTACAAAAGATAAGCAAACATACATGAAATTGTTTATGTGGGTGCTTCGTATATTGACTGATGCAGAGTTTCAAAATGGCACTGTGGGTTGTACAAATACAGTGCAGCGTACCGTCAAGCACATGCACATTGTCAAAGTCCACAACACCCACACACACAAAAAAAAAACTCTTAAACATCCGCCTGTCCAAAAGTGCAAATGAATCAAGTTGTTGGAATATGCACGCACAAGAATAGCCGTGTCGACACAGCATAGGCCTACAAGCTATCCTTGAAAAATTATGTATTATTTACCCATGTCTGTCATTTCCGTTGTTAAGGGTGAAGTCGGCCCCGAGCGCCAATTAAAATAATAATATATGTGTTCATGGTTACTACATTGAACACAACTGCCCTCTGCTCTAGACACGCGCCCTTGCACTATCGATCTATATCTATAAAATGGATATGAAACCTACGGTGGCTGATCTCCGCCAGGGCGTTATAACGCCGTAATTTCAGTTTAGCTATTTGTCCAGTATTTCCAAGTGAAGACATCATGCGACTCTCAATATTTTGTCCCAAAAAATGGGAAAATAAGATTTTCTTTCTATCGTCGCACCTTCCGTAGCACGACGTTGTTAGCCTTCCTTATGTACGTCTCTAGTTAAGCCCGAAATGGGATATACTCATGCAGTTGAAAAGGCGGCTTATGTAACATACACTAATTTAGAATTTTTCACATTTCGGGGAATTTTATCACGACAGTTTCACATAACCATGCTGCCGAAGAATCGATGAATTTGAGTACAGAGCCAGCCACGTTCCATAAATAAAATATTTCATCTTTGGAAGAATACACTTGTAATCGTCCTTGTTTTTCTTGCTGGATACCCAAGGGAGGATCGGACCTAAATATTCGGAGGAGGGGACTCTTGGGGAAAGTCTGGCATTTTTAGTTCTTAGTAGTGAGGTTGCATGAGGCTCTTCACGCTTTCGAAAGGGAAATAAAATATAGACCAAATATTTGTAAATACGCATATATATTTCTCTTGGGGGGGGTTATGGCCCCATTGCCCCCCCCCCCATTCGCCCAATCTGCCCCATCGGACAGCTTACTTATTTCGTTCGATTAAGGGACATGTCTTGCGTTGAACTTAAGGTAAGCCCAATACACGTTCGTGACTCTGCATAAATTGCGGCATAGTACGTGTCCATTTATAACGCCCTCTTGCGTCATGTCAGTTATGTCAGTTCCACGAGTCGACGTGAAAAACAGCGCGCTTGGGCCATATTGCCGTTCCACAAATGTGATTCGTTTCGCTGAGAGCACGGGTTCCTCTTTCAAGTATCACAAACTTGGGTTTGTTTTGATTTAAGTCTTTTTTTTTTACTTTCGCGTTTTACTTTTTACTTTGAAATATTTGATTTTAGTGTCTTCTTCGAATTGGCACAAAGAAAGCAGGAGTAACTTTAAAGCACACGGTTGTAGTAATCTGCATTTTTTCGTTGATAACCCATTTCGAGTGTCCTTAAAGTTTATTTGACAAGATGTTTTCCTGCTCAAGTAAAATCATTGCTTCGATTTATACATTTCCGTTGTATCATAATAATTGTGTTGTTGTTTTCGAATGGCTTTATCGAATTGAGTGAAATATATCAAGGCAGGATATCCTGCTCCTACCTACACCTGGGCATAATGCACACGCATCCTCTACTCGTGTTAACCGGAGTAACCGCACGAACGTTCCCAAAAAAATGTCCGTGATTTCGCAACGTTATTGCGTTATTTTGCAATATTACTGTTCCCACGAATTCCGTGGGCAATTCCGTCATTCAGTTTGGCAATACCACCGTTCCATTCGGCACTCTCACCATTCCATTCGGCACTCTCACCATTCCATTCGGCACTCTCACCATTCCATTCGACAATGCCATCATTCCGGCATTCGGCAATGTCGCCATTCTGTTATGAGCTTCATAACGAGGTGACGAAATTGCCGAATGGAATGACGAACTTGGAGCGAAGGACGAAAACGCGCAATACTGCTGTTTTCGCTGAATGAAAAGAGGTGAACGCAAAACAAAGAGTTGAAATTGCCGAACAAAACTGCAAAATTACCGATTGAATGATGAAATTGACAAATTTAATGATGATATCGCCTATTTAAATTGATACAACTACGAAACTGAGTGATGAGATTACCAAGCAGAATGGTACAATGCAACGCAAAAGGGTGAAAGTGCCCTAAGAAATGATAAGAGTGCCAAACTGAAAGATAGAAGTGCTAAAATAGAATGATAAAAAGACTAATTGAATGATGGTATTGCCGAATGGAATGAAGGAATTGCCGAATGTAATGGTAAAAATGCTGAATTTAAGTACGGAATTGCCGAATGGCATGAAATGGTGAAATGGCGAATGGAATGACGGAATTGCCTAATGGCATAGTAAAATGCCAATTGGAATGACAGAATTGCCTAATGGAATGGTGAGAGTGCCGAATGGAACGACGGAATTGCCAAATGGCATGGTAAAATGCCGAATGGAACGACGGAATTGCGGAATGGAATGGTGAGAGTGTCGAATGGAACGACGGAATTGCGGAATGGAATGGTGAGAGTGTCGAATGGAACGACGGAATTGCGGAATGGAATGGTGAGAGTGTCGAATGGAACGACGGAATTGCGGAATGGAATGGTGAGAGTGTTAAATGGAATGACGAAATTGCCGAATGGAAATGTAAGATGCCGAAAGGAATGACGGAATTGCCGAATGGAATTGTGAAATAGTTAACATTAACGAAATTAGGCCACCGAAGACAGTAATGGCGTTCCACATGTGTCTTTTTGCGTTAATTCACGCACAAGTCTTTGTCTGTTTTCTGCCTTGGAAAATACACCTCTGTATGTATGAAATACGAATTAGAAAGCACCAAAACAACTGGGTCTATAATTAAATGTCGGATTTACTCTTGTTTCGTGCCTATTAGACGGAAACATTAATTTATTATGGTCTCAAGTTGCGAACAAAATTTGTTCTCATGTATGCCAAATTTAGAGTAACGCGATATCTTTTTTTATTAGCCAGAAAGCACACGGACTGTCAGTAGTCTTTATTATGCTAATTTAATTGTTGGGAAAGTGATGACGTCTTAATTGGTAGATATTCTTAATAACCTCAGCACTGTATAATTTAAAACATCTGTAAAGATGTAATTTAGGACTGTAGTCATCGGGTTTAGGATGTGATCTTGTTCCTTTTAAAACATTTGTGAGAGACTTTTGCTCTTCCAAATGCCCTGTATTAAGGGCGATGTGGACGAGCAAATTGGGACACGTACTCGTTTTGGAGTTCTCCCGCTGTTATTGGTATATCGCGTTTCATCCCATGCACATACAAACGCTGCAGAATCAATTATCTCGGACACAAAGCGCACAGAAAACGCACATGCACATGCGTCCTGTGTTTTTTCTGGTTGTCCGTGTTGTTGTTCTTGTTTTGTCTGTTTATACAAGCCTCTGCTTATCCAACAGCCTCATGCTCTTCGCCTTTCTCATTTGTACATCCACTACTTTTCTTTATCTTATCATAAGTTCTATTTTTTACCATTAAGTACACGTATCTGAAAAAAAAAGTTATTTGCATTCACTTCGCTAATTTTACCAAGCTTCTTTAACTTCTGACGTATTTTCTTAAAGCTTATCCATTTGTCAATTTCTATGTACCTAGTTCCCTTAATTATCAATGTTCTTTAAAAAAACAAAAGAGCATGGAACGAACGTTTTCTTGAACTGAATTGAATTGAAACGTTCTTTAATTCGGCCACATATCCCTACAAACACAATAATGATGTACATTGTAGGCACAGGGCCTATTACTTAAACTTCCCTACGCAAAATAATGTACCAGTAGACAAGTAGGCCTAAATTATTTTTTTTTGGCTGGTTACATCATCACTGATTATTTCACCCGAACTACGTGAAATTGAAACTGGAAATCTATAGTGTCTAAAGGTTGTCCGTTCAAAATTCATCAACTTGAATGTTCGATGCCCATGGTGATGATTCACCGCAAGTGGAAATTTTTTAGATGATGGAATAATCCCAGGTACGTAACATGGAGCGTCCCACCCCGTGTCACGTGATCTCTTAATTAAATAATTATTCCCACGGACGTTTCGGGTTAAATAGAAATAAATTAAAAAACAGCCGAAATCAAGCCCTCTAATTTTGTCTGGTACAAAGCACTAGTTCGAAGAAGTCTAAAACAACTTTTGTTTGAGCTAAGAAGAAGCTTGAAAATATTCCACATATTTGCAGCCGTTTGTGGCCCGGAGATAAGCAGGAAAATAATATTTATTGTAAAGGACGGCCATCTTGCTTGTTTTCCATTGATTATTTATTGTGGAAAATTTGTATGTGGTAACCTAACGCACGTCCGTACACGTACATGTACATTGGGTAGGGCTGTGCTCTGTACCGAGAAGCATCAAAAATTCCAACTGAATTTTCATTTCTTCAATTTGCTTGACATCAAAATGGGTAATATTTACACAGTTGGACCCAATGAAGCGCTAGTTGTTTCAGGTAAGTTTGGATATGAGGCATAAATACAGACTGTACCAGGACGGTCCGACGCGATTCGACTGTCGCGATGTCGTGTCCGCCTTGTTGCTTGGATGTTCCAATTGGTGTGGTTGTGGTGGAGCAACACGAGCAAGGAAGACACCCAAATCTCGGCTAAAATACCAAATTGTCTTTGGTGAAGCTTTCTTTGTCAGGGAAGAGTTCCATATACGGACGCCAGTAATGACCTGTTAACCACCAGAAAGCAAAAAGTCATCCAGACAATTCAATTTTCCTAGGAGGGAAAAAATCAAGTCGTTTACTCAGAAATCACAATTTTTCAGACCAGTTTCATAGGGTTTGTGCACAGGGTGTCGAGCGGCATCTGTATACGGAACTCTTTCGGACTTCCATCTCCGGACTTCACATGACAAACACGTTAGTGCTGTTATGCTTCAACTACAGCATCATTTCAAACTATAGTTAGGACCGTCCCAACCAACGTGCTTGATTGTATAGTCGTCAGGTCCCTTAATTTTAAATAGGCCTATAGGCAGTTAGGTGTAGTGTGAAAACCAATGAGACTTGACAATAGGACTCTTAGGAGGCAAAATTAGGGACCAGGTAAATACGTGTATACGGTCACGCAGGTTAGTGTGTCCATGCCAAAGTCATTTTGTTTACATCAGCAACTCGTGCTTGTAGAAATGAGGTTTTATAATGAAGTGCCATATTTTAGATAAATCATGTCAAGTGTGAGCTGCGCAAACTTGGGAGAGGTTAAAAAAATTTCTACAGAGATTGGCCAACGACAGTTGGGCCAGCCGAACTGCAACACAATCCGCTCCAAGCGGAACAAAAGATGGCGTGTTTTTTTGGTACTCACCACATAGGCGCGATGAGGTGCACATGCATATGCGCGTTTGACGCGGAGCACGCTGATTACACGTAACTCATTTATTCCGGCATGTATAGTCTTTGCGTACACGCAGAATGCGTGCATGAACCCGCATGCAACCACCTGTCCTTCTTTTGCCAATTGGGGGTGCACTTCAGCTTGGGGCGGATAGTTGGGACAGACACTGTAGTTGGGGCGTAACAGTGCTAAAATAAAGTTGAGTTTTTAAGATGTTATCACTCTCTGATGGCTCATACACAACTGCGAGGGAGCTCTAGTGATGTCCGTATGTGGAACTCTTACCTGTTGGAGTTCCATTAAAAGGAAATGTTTCAAGGAGGAAAGTGCGGAGAGAGTTGGGCCTATACGGACAATACTTGATGCCCCTGTGCACAAGCTTATGAGACTTGTCTGAAAAAAACCCCAGTGTTTTCTAAGTGAATTCTTCAGAATTTTCTCAGTTAATTTTCACATTTTAGGACAAGATATCACTTTCTGATGGCTGTTATAACATTTAAGGGAAAATAAGCCTTGTCCATACATGTATATGACGGTCATGCTGCTCAGCATCAACAAGCGTCAACACACACAAGTAGTGTCAACAAAGTGTCAACAACTTGAAAATACCTTCTACAAATTTAACCTAACCCTACATAATACTACAAATTACTACTTGTAGTAAAATGTAGTAATCAGTGCTGCCGCTTGTAAGAGGACATGACTGCATTGTTCTCTGAAGCCATAAAATACAACAGAAAAGACAATGTACCATACAGTGCTGTGGCACTATGAATGCATGGCTTTATTGTTCTCTGTATGAGTAACAATGGAAGTAACCTAGCCAGAAGTAGTCACTTGTAGCGTTAGGTCCTTCAGGCTCAGGCTATTACTTAGTATTTTGTAGTACTGAGTACTGTAAGCCAAGCAATATGCTTGGCGACTCGGTTTAAAAGTGGTTTTAGCATAATTTTAAAGGCTCTATCACTTGCCACTGTGTAAAAGAAACACTGAATTTGCTTCCAGATTCTTGCAGGAAAGCGAAAACTTTTCACGATGAATGGGAGCCACCATATTTCTTTCTGCCATCCTCTGCCGTCCACTCGAAAACAAGATGGCGGCCGGTCGGACTGCACAAACAGGCCCGACTTTGTCACTCAAATTTCAACACTCAGAGATCATTTCAGATAGATGTGATACATTGAATTTGATATCTAGGAAGCTAATTAACAGTTTATATAAAAAATCTTTGCAAAAATATGCTTGTATAACTTCTTGTCACGTTAAAGCTAAATAGCCTGAACCGTACATGGAACTCTTTCCAGAAAGTGCTTGTAGGCCTAGTTGGATCATCAGTTCTAGTGAAAGAGGGATTTTAAGAGAGAATCCAGAGTGTGCCAAATCAGATTCAACAGGGGTGGTCAAGGGACAAAACGGACCGCAATTTTGAGAAAAAGCTATTTGAAATGGATATGATGGAGAGACCTTGTTGTCCCACCCTCAGTACCGAGACAAATCAACATGTAAGTAGCCCATTCCATCAACATTCACACAGTATCAACAAATGAGTCAATTTCAAACTAGGGTTTCATTTTCGGCACTGCTCTGATTTTCCCCACGTACTCAAAGGCTGTCAAGTTCCATACAAGGCCAAAATGAGTCCAACAGAAACTTGTTCTGAAACTGGAATCCAGTTCCGTTGTCTTTGCTGAAGTGATCTATTTCTGTTTAATTGTAGGTGGCTGTTGTGGTAATGCCAGCAAGAAGTACATCATTGGAGGCTATGCATGGGCGTGGTGGCTGGTGTCAGATGTACAGAAGTGAGAACAGCTGTTATTCTTGGCTCAATATCCTCCCTTTCCATTATAAACTTATGAAGACTCAAACCTGGAATACAGTTAACAACACATGATGGGTAAAGTTGTTATGCCCTGACTACACTTCTGCTTCTCCTGCTACGGCTGATTCAATTTGAATAATCACTATTCGAATATTTGGCCTTCAATTTGATGGAATATCTGAATATTCGGTTGCACTGGCCAGCAGATTGTTGATGAACAAACCATATACAAAATCAGTTGCAATAACACACACAATTGTACATTATGATCAGTATAATAGCTTCTCACATCTCGGAGTATCTTCAGCCACGATTTAGCAAGATTTAAGAGATGAACAACACTTTTTGCCCTGTTGAAAATTTCTGTTCCTTTTAAATTATTAATGACTAATTCTTTTTTTAAATCGTTGTAAGATTTCAGACGCTTTTCATTTAAATCAGCTTGAAACAAGCCTCCATAGTGCAATTTTATTCATTTAAAACAAAAGAAAATTTTCCCTTTTCATGAATTTTGCATTCGAACATTGAATTTGAAACGTAATATTTGAATATTTGACAATAGATCAAATATTCGGTTATTTGGATATTCGCCACTGCCCTATCTTCTGTTATACTCGGCAAGGTTCATAAATTTTTATACAATAGCGTCTGTCCCAACTACAGTGCCGCAATTGGGCTGGTGCAAATATTAAAAGTGCTTATTTGGAAGTCGACATGTTTTTGCTAAGGTTTACCAGTTCTATGATGTGCCTGCGCCCTGATTTTTAGGATTACCTTGGAGGTTATGACACTGAACCCTCGCTGTGAGAATGTGGAAACCTCCATGGGCGTGCCCCTGACAGTCACTGGCGTGGCTCAGGTCAAAGTCATGACTGAGGAGGGGCTGTTGGCCACGGCCTGTGAGCAGTTCTTGGGTCGATCCACCAATGAGATCAAGGAAGTGGTGCTGCAGACACTGGAAGGTCACCTTCGGGCCATATTGGGTAGGTTAGGCTTTGAAATATTGGGATATCCTATCCCTGGAGATTGGAAATCTGAGCCTCCAGTGTTTCAATGGGTGTTTTTAACAGTAACAAATTTAAAACTTTTGTCAGCAGAAAGTTCTTCTTGGAAGTTTCATGTAAAACATGCATTGTAGAAGTAAATGAGAAATTACACTTAACAATAGTACAATATATTTTTCTGATTTGCAATTGTTAAAGTGTTCATCAAAGCGTTTTGAAATATGGTTCATGTAAGCTTCAGTGCAAAATTGACGACTTTGTTGTTAGTTTATTTTTAAAAAAAGGTTGCTGAAAATAAGAATGAAATTAGTTTTGTTGGAGAAAATACGAATGAAAAATGAATCTTTGCCTGGAAGGCACACTGACTGTGGAGGCAATCTACCAGGACCGTGATCAGTTTGCCCAGCTTGTGAGGGAAGTAGCTTCCCCCGACGTAGGCCGCATGGGGCTGGAGATTGAGAGCTTCACCATCAAGGATGTCTACGACAAAGTGGAGTACCTGGGATCGCTGGGCAAATCCCAAACTGCTGTGGTCAAGAGGGATGCGGACATCGGCGTGGCTGAAGCCAACAGGGATGCTGGAATCAGGGTAAGGGAGCATTGCTGACAGGAAGAATTCAGTCCATCCATGGACACCCAAACATCTCGGGTATTCTTGATAGAGGTTTCCTGGTCACTTTCAACCAAAAAGAATTCACTATCACCGACGCGCTGTAAAGTTTGTTGATATTTTTGATTTTGTTCGTCACTGTGATCTCTTTTTCACACTTCCTGCATTCAGTTTGGTTTTGTCACCAACAAGTACATATTTTAGTTATTGGGTTATTGTTCCCTTATGAAAAGAGAGTATGTTTTGTTGCCCATTCTGTGTTTTTATAAATTTTCCTGTTTTATTCACAATTCTACTTTTGAGTAAACTATGCATGAAAAAAGGGCCATCTGATTCATCAAAATGGTTACCCAAAAGGGGACAATTATTGATGAAAAGAAAGTCAACCCAATCTGCCAACATGTGACAGTCAAAACAGTGTGTGAAATTTGGTTTGTTTCATAAGATCTGACAGCTCGCACGTACAGTTTTTTTTTATTGACTGCTCCAATTATCCATAGGAATTGGGGCTGCCAGCTCTTGATGTTGTTCTTGTGAATTCAGTAAAGTTAAGTTTTAAGTAAGATGGTGAAAAGTGAATAGTGTTCATATGCAAGACAAATTACAAAAGCCGTCATTGAAAAAAACAAGTCTCTGCTACTAAAACTCAAAAGAAATGATCCGCTTACCTAGATCGCATAAACCTTCAACACTTCATGGAGCGCAATGATTTCCTCGATCACTGTAGTTTCACTTCCTTTCAAAAACACATTTGAAATGTCAGTATACAAAGGTTCCCATTTCCTTGCAGGCATTTCCTTGATGGTGTCACATGCAGCTTCACATTTACACGTCCGGTGTGTTTAAGGAAGGAAGTTTTTGTTCAAGTTTCTCAATGAAAATTAAACACATAATGGAGAATATTTCCACTTACTGCCTAATTAAAACTGAAACCGTCAAAATAATTTGAAGGCTCATGCTGACTATTTTCAAAAGAAAGCTATAAATTGAGATTAAATGGAAAACTCTTATCTTGACATTTGAGGGCACTCATTTTTATCAAAGAGGTTCCTAATGTGACTTGATCCCACAAAATAAATATGAAGAACATTTTGGGCTTGTTTTTGATATTCATGTGCTTTAGCATATTCATGTTCTTCATTTTGATGTAAATAATCATCAGGAGGCAGAATGTGAGAAGGTCATGATGGACACCAAGTTCGATGCAGACACCAAGATTGCCGACTCGGCCCGCATGTTTGAGATGAGTAAAGCCGGTTTCCAGGCAGAGGTTAACACCAAGGTAGGCTGAAATACACCAAGACTGTCTGGGAGTGTGGGAGTTGTTGCCTCGTGGTTAGGATGGGTGACTCATGATGAGAAGGCTGGGGGGGGAGGTCAAAGTCTGCTGATCAAATATTTGATAGAGCACTCGGGTACACCAAATTCCTGAAAAGCAGAAACAAATTATTGATGAGTGTGTGATGATTTACCAAATAATCAGTGACTTTTAGCACAGGGGTCAGGCCATAGTAAAGGAGTCCAGTTAAGATTCAGAGTCTTAATAAGAAAATTTAAAGAAACACTAATTTTCATCCTTAATAATATGTTCATGCATGGGTTGCCTTAAAGTTTGCTGGTAATGCCCTAAAGTATCTTTTCTGAGAGCAATTGTTTACAGGGTGAGGGGTTCGAATCCCTCTCCTGGTCGTTGGTTGTCTCCTTGGGCAAGCCACTTCACCCTCACTCACCTCTCTTCCACCGAGGAGTATGCGTAGATTCTTGCGTTAGCTAGGGAGCAACATACGATGGACTGGCATCCCATCCCGGGGGAAATAGAAATTTGCACCATTTCATGCTGTTGCAAACAATGCTGGCCTGATGGACCACATTGGCTTGTGACAAATCTGGAACTTCACATCCGCATATCACTCCGGCCATGTCACTTGATCTGTATTATACTTGCGTACCAGATACATTTCACATCATTAGAAAGTGATACTTTAAGAAGTTGCTGCCTGTTTTGGAACAGACAGGGCTGTCATGATTGAGTTTGTTGATTACAAGAGTGTAAACCTGCTATGAGCTTGGTCTACTGCTTTCTTAAAGTGTACACCTGCTAGGAGCTTTGTTTACTGCTTTCTTAGAGTGTAAACCTGCTAGGAGCTTT